TAGTTTAAATTGTTATGTTCCTATCTCCCATGACTTCACTCTGTTTATTCTGAAGTACAAAAGTCTAGAATGTCTTATAATAAAACAGTAGTTTCTAATTGATATGCTGTGTTTACCAATATCATTGATCCTTTCGTTTTATTCAAAATTGTATAGGTTTGTTTGTGTGTGTGTGTGTTTATGTGAATGTGTGTGTGAGAGAGAGAGAGGGAGAAAAAGAGAGCTTGAGCAATTACAGTTGCTAAAATCTCCAATATTTTCCTCACAATTATAAATTTTGTTTCTTTTTTCACTTGTTAGTGCCACAGAGCAGTCCAATTTCAGTGTGATAAGTATTATTTTAAGAAATAATTTTTTTCTGCATAGATTCTGCAATGTTTTTAATATATTCTTGAAAACCATATTGTTCACGGGGGCACACTGGTTGTTAGTCATTCTTTGATTTTGCCTGTTGCTTCATGAGTTCTTGCTATTATCTAATTGATTTGTTTGCTTAATAACATCTTCATTATCTTTCTTACTATTTATTATTCCAGCTCCATTTGTTTGGCTCAGTTTTTCAGGGACATTAATTATTTGTTACATTGTTTTCTGCTTTTTGAAGTTTTATCTCATTTTCATCTATTTCTCCATTTTCTGCACCTTATGGGAGAGCACTTCAAGCCTTTCCACGTAAATTTTCTATTTTAGGCAGAGTCAGAGTCAAATCCAGGCTTTATTGTTCTCAGTAAAAATTTTGTTTTTGCTATTGCAGTTCACTTTCATTACAATATTTTCCTAATTACACATAGCACCCTGTTTGTGCCTACATTTTTTTAAGGACTGCCCAAAATCTAATTTTATTTTTGCATTCTTTATAAATAAAAAGCAACCAATAACCATTTTCCTCTTAGATCCAACTTCAATGACCATATTTTCAGGAACTACTGAAAGATTTCAAGTATGTTGTTTGTAAGGAATAGTTTATAATTACTGAATTTTACATTTTTGCTTAATATACAAAATTTTTGCTTAATGTATTAAGCATATTTTTGCTTAATATGTTTTGTAAACTATAGTTAACTCTTGGAATGTCTAAAATAAGCTACCTTTATTTTCATTAATAAAAATGAGTAATTTAAAATTTTATGCACATGTAACATTTTAAATATACAATTTCCTTAACATAAGGTAAAACAGTCTTAGGCAGGCTGCCACTGGGATTTTTTTTTTTTTTTTTTTTTTTAATTAGAGGCAGGGTCTTGCTATGTTGCCCAGGTTGATCTCGAACTCCTGGGCTCAAGTGATCCTCCCATCTCAGCCTCTCAAAATGTTGAGATTACAGGTATGAGCCACCACACCTGACCTGGGAATTTTTTTAATGTATGTGGTAATACACAGGTGTAGATCACATTTAGTTTATGACCAAGTTAATTAATAAGTCAAAGAACACGTAAAATTTAAGAACAAATAGACTGGTTGTGGTGGCTCACGACTATAATCCCAGCACTTTGGGAGGCCGAGGCGGGTGGATCACCCGAGGCCAGGAGTTTTAGACCAGCCTGGCCAACGTGGCAAAACCCTGTCTCTATTAAAAACACAAAAATTAGCCAGGCATGGTGGGACACCTGTGATCCCAGCTACCTCGGAGGCTGAGGCATGAGATCGCTTAAACTTGGTGGGCAGAAGTTGCAGCGAGCCAAGACTGTGCCACTGCACTCCAGCCTGGGCAACAGACCGAGTCTCTATCTCAAAAAAAAAAGAAAAAAAAAAAGGTACAAATAGATCTTTGAAAAACTTCTGACATTTATTTACCTCTGGACAAACAAATAAGTGGGAAGAGTCATCAGTATAAACCTCTTTTAATTTTAGTCTTTATCATTAAAATTGCCTAAGTTCTTGGAACACAGAAAAAACAAATTTGAATGCATTTGTAACCGTTTAATAATTTGTATGTCTCATTCTGATCTTTTAATGGAATATTTTAAAGCCAAAGCATAATTTACTGCAAAAATAAATTAGAAAAGGCAAATAAACTTTTGAATAATATGTTATAATGACCTGGACAAAACTGATTATTAGCTAGTAATACAATTATTAGCACATGCAACAGATTGAAAAATTAAATCCTATGCTACATACTCAAGTATTTTGTCAAACATGAGATATATTTAAATGTTTCTATCAATTGCATCCCTTTTGCCACATATGTTTTTTTTTTTTTTTTTTTTTTTTTTTTTTTGAGACGGAGTCTCGCTCTGTCGCCCAGGCTGGAGTGCAGTGGCCGGATCTCAGCTCACTGCAAGCTCCGCCTCCCGGGTTCACGCCATTCTCCTGCCTCAGCCTCCCAAGTAGCTGGGACTACAGGCGCCCGCCACCTCGCCCGGCTAGTTTTTTTTGTATTTTTTAGTAGAGACGGGGTTTCACCGTGTTAGCCAGGATGGTCTCGATCTCCCGACCTCGTGATCCGCCCGTCTCGGCCTCCCAAAGTGCTGGGATTACAGGCTTGAGCCACCGCGCCCGGCCGCCACATATGTTTTTATTTAAAACACGAAAACAATTATCTTTCCTCCAGATTCTCATGTTAATCAGTGCAAAACACTGCAATTTTAGTAAAAATTGTTTATTACAATGTTATTTTAGAAAGGCTTATTCCTCAAACTATTGAACATGTACTTAAAAGACGGCCAAATTATGAGAACGATCAACTTCAATGACTTCCTCTACGCCCAACTTGGCTTCTCCATGTCCTTCCTGTGACTCATCAAGAGAGACCAGGGCCTCATTTATGCCACTTGCAGAAGTTTCTCATGATATATCATTATCTTGAAAATTTAGACTTTTAATAGCTTATTTCATTTTTTTCATTGTGTTCTCCTCTTCCTAGCAGCTTTTTAATTTTCATATTCCTTTTGGTTTTCAATGTAGAAAACAACCTTAGTTTGTTCTTTGCTCATACTAGGAGTGTTTTTCAAGAGATTCAGAAAAACTCCACCCATTGTTCTTTGACGACCATTCATTATAAAGAGGACATTTCGTTCCACTTCAGCAGTTTCCATCAGATGTTCAATTGCCTTTTGTTCCCAATAATCCTCACTACTTGAGCCATCAGATCTTTCTTTGGTTCCTGTAACCCGAATGAAATTTCATTAGCCACTTTCTCTTGAGAATCTTCCTTTGTGGTCTCATATCGACCTTTATAGTTCATTTCTGGTTCTAGTCTGTTCCCTAGCCTGTCTTTTACAGGTCATTTCCTTTTGAGATGACCTAGCCCCTTTTCCTCTTCCTTTGATCCCATTTTTGTTTGTTTGTTTGTTTTTTGTTTTTTTGCCACCATGCATATATTCAGCTAGTTTCTCGTCTAGTCCTTTTATATGCTCTTGAGATTCCCTCTTAAGTTTCTTAGCAAGCAAACAATCGTAGGTCTCGAACTGTCCGCTTCTGTCAATAGCGCCCTCCATTCCCAAGATACCAACTTTAGTGGCCACTGAATCTTAATTCTGTTCCTGCAGTACAGCACCCCACATATTATTAATCTTCTTTGCTCCAGAAACAGGTGGTTTCTGACTGCTCTTGGCCAAACTGAAAAGACTCTGGTTTGGGAGGAGGGTTAAAACATTTCTGTCACTTGCGCTTCCAAAGACAGCTATCATCGTCTGAATTAGAAAAACTCTCTTCACTTGAATCCACACTTTCAACAACTAGGTAACATGATACTGGTGCACATGCAGTTGCCCTGCCCTGGAAGGCCCTCACAAGCACTGTCCCCGCCTAGCACTTTCCACACTTGCTGCGGCCTGTCGCTGGGTGCTGCCCTTATGTCAGAATCTGAGTCATGTCGGAAAGCTGCCCATCTTCCATGTAGCCGGCCTCCAACACCCTCTTCCCGCGGTGCCTGTTCCTATATTTTAGCCAACTTTATTTTCATCTCTGTTGCCTAGAAAGTCTTTAAAGACTATGTTATGTGTTCCTGTGCCCCTTTAAGGTACCATATATTTCTGCATTTTGACTTTCATTGTGATGTGTTATAATTGATTATTTAAATATTTTCTCTATTACATTCTAAGCTTCAATGAATAATCAATCACTGTATCATCAGTGCTGTCATAGAAATTGAATAAATACAGAGTTTCCTTTCATATTATTTAAGATCATATCTCTTGTTTCATAACTTTTTATCCATGAATGTTTTCCTTTGAAACTTCACTCTAATGTTTCCTATATTTTTTATAGATTTTTTTTTTTTGTGGGAATCTGTTTTTTCCAATTTTCCTGTTCTTGAAAGAGAAGTAGTGGGAATAGTGTAGACACACTCACTTTCCACAGAGTTGTAGTATAATACTCCTCTCAGATCTTAATTTTGAGAGTCAGTGGATTATGTAGGTACTAGGAATCAGTTGTCAATTATAGATATGCTGGACCAAAGAGGAAACTGCTAACATTGTTTTCCATAGTCTGATGTGGCAAGAAAGAATAAGTATTATGTGATTTGAAGTAGTCTACAATTCTTACATTGAGTGAGAGGGGAAGTGCATTAAAACAACCACACCCTGTAAACATTATTCTCACTCATCCCTTCACCTCTATTTTTTCTACTTAAAATAACTTCAAAATAAAATATGATACAATATACATTTTTCACTGCATACCCTGTCAATTGTTTTGGAACTGGAGTCCCTAAATGCATACAGAAAGATTAGTAATAGTTTTGACAGCAGATGAAGATGAAAACAATATGTCTTTGATGAAGGCCAATATATAACAGGTATAAATAGAAACTTTCTACTGTTTTCTCATCTCACTTCGCTCCATTGCCTCAGGATCCCTTTCACTTAACCCTATTACAAAAGAATTAAGGGTGCAGAAGAAAACGAGTGTGTGTGAACAAGATCAGATTTGTTTTAGTAAATATGCTAACAAGATAAAAAAATGGAACATAAAAGAGAGGAGAAAGGTGACCTATGGCTCATTTCAGTGCTTAGGCTCTGACCACTCTTTATTGCGTCTTTATTCTTAGCCAACACAAGACCCTTCCTTTTCCAGCTGAGGTGCTGACCTTGCCTCTATCACTGACAGTAAGAGAAAATCTGAAAAACAGATTGAAAATCTGACTTCCAATCAAGAATTCCTCTCCAGGACCACAGTTGGGGATTTATGCCTATACTTATGGCTACAGGAAACCGGACAGAAATAAGTGAATTTATCCCCATGAGCTTCTCTTCCCTGCCTACTGAAATACAGTCATTGCTCTTTCTGACATTTCTAACCATCTACCTGGTCACTCTGATGGGAAAGAGCCTCATTATTCTGGTTACCCTAGCCGACCCCATGCTACACAGCCCCATGTACTTCTTCCTCAGACACTTATCCTTCCTGGAGATTGGCTTCAACCTAGTCATTGTGGCCAAAATGCTGGGGACCCTGCTTGCCCAGGACACAACCATCTCCTTCCTTGGCTGTGCCACTCAGATGTATTTCTTTTTCTTCTTTGGGGTGGCTGAATGCTTCGTCCTGGCTACCATGGCATATGACCGCTATGTGGACATCTGAAGTCCCTTGCACTACCCAGTCATCATGAACCAAAGGACACGGGCCAAACTGGCTGCTGCTTCCTGGTTCCCAGGCTTTCCTGTAGCTACTGTACAGACCACGTGGCTCTTCAGCTTTCCATTCTGTGGCACCAACAAGGTGAACCACTTCTTCTGTGACAGCCCACCTGTGCTGAAGCTGGTCTGTGTAGACACAGCACTGTTTGAGATCTACACCATCACTGGAACCATTCTGGTGGTCATGATCCCCTGCTTGCTGATCTTGTGTTCCTACACTCTCATTGCTGCTGCCATCCTCAAGATCCCATCAGCTAAAGGGAAGCATAAAGCCTTCTCTATGTGATCCTCACATCTCCTTGTTGTCTCTCTTTTCTATATATCATTAAACCTCACATATTTTCAGCCTAAATCAAATAATTCTCCTGAAAGCAAAAAGCTGCTCTCATTGTCCTACACTGTTGTGACTCCCATGTTGAACCCCATTATCTACAGCCTGAGAAATAACGAGGTGAAGAATGCCTTCAGCAGGATGGTCTGCAAGACCCTAGCCCTCAGAAACTGTATCCCATAGACCTTAGGAAGTAAGGCTAAATTCTACTGAATAACAATTAGTTTCATGTTTGGGACACCTCTCTGCCTCTCTTCACATATCTATTGGAATGAAACTCAGCTATTGAAATGGCTATTGGAAAGCTTGGTGGAGAGAAGAGAGCCCAGTGTTGATGTAAACCTGTCATTATCATCTTCCAGATTCCTTTACCTACCCATCATAGACTTAATCTGTTTTTCTTATTGGTGCAATTGGCACTTTGACACTTCTGTGGCTAAACCATTTGAGATACTCACTTTGCTAATGAGCACAAATGTGAATATATTGTGGACAATATGAAACTACTTGTAATATGACCTTGGGGACACACAATGGTCAAGACAATGATAATTATCAAATGTCATCTTGGCCATCATCTTGGTTTGGACAATTCTGACACCATTCAGTAGAAAACCCTATAACACTTCCAGTACATAATTCTTGCTCTTCCTTTCATTTTGCATGCTCCTAAGGAAGTGTTGGCTTTTATGTTTGTGGATATTTAGCATGGATAGAGAAAAGAGGGTCACTAATCCCCATACATGTTCCTTTATAAGCCCAATAGCCTTAAAAGACTCCTTCCTTAGGCTATTCTTCCCAGGCAGAGTGAGCTGTTTCCAATTGTCTCTTGCAGATTCATTTTCAAGTTCTTAATCCTTGTTAAAGTAATTTCAAAATTTCACAAACACAATCTCAATCATAATGCTGCTTTTTTCAAGGCTTACAGTGGATCTTAGCTGACTCCTATATTTGCTTAGTGCCTTTAAATTTTAAATTTTTATATATTGTTGACATGAAAATACAAAATATCGTAAAGCACAATCATTGCCATCAGAAATGAATAATTTGATCAACAATGAGGGATTTAGATGAGGTAATTGCTAAAAGTAAATTCATTTTACAATTAAGCAAAGTAAGATTCAAGTTATTCCTCCCCAGAAGCCAAGCAGATGCCAGTGCCATGCTTTTACAGCCATCAGAACCATGAGTCAATTAAATACTTTTTCTTTATAAATTGCCCACTTTCAGGGATTTCTTTATAGCAATGCAAGAATTGCCTAACACAGAAAATTGGTAGTGGCAGTGGGGCATTGCTATAAAGATACCTGAAACTATGGAAGTAATTTTGGAACTGGGTAATGGGCAGAGGTTGGGGAGTTTGGGGGGCTCAAAAAAGACAGAAAGATGAAGGAAAGTTTGGAACTTCTTAGAGACCATTTAAATGATGGTGACCAAAATGCCAATAGTGATATGGATGGTGAAGGCCAGGCTGCTGAGGTCTCAGATGGAAATGAGAAACTTATTGGGAACTGGAGCAAAAGTCACATGTGTTATGCCTTGGCAAAGATCTTGGCTGCATTCTGTTCATGCCCTAGGGATCTGTGGAAGTTTGAACTGAAGAGTGATAATTTAGGGTATCTGGTGGAGGAAATTTCTAAGCAACAAAGTGTTCAGATGTGATCTGGCTGCATCTAACAACCTATGGTCAGATATGGGAGCAAATAAATGATTTAAAGTTGGAATTTTATGTCAAGGAGAAGCAGAATATAAAAGTTTGGAAAACTTACAGCTTGGCCATGTGGTAGAAAATAAAAGCCCATTTTCAGGAGAAGAATCCAAGCAGACTTTGGAGCAACAATTTGCTAGAGAGATTTGTATAACTAAAAATGAAGCCAAGTGCTATTAACCAAGACAATGGGAAAAGGTCTTGAAAGCATTTCAAATACCTCTGTGACAACCACTCTCATCGTAGGCCCAGAGACCTAGGATGGAAGAATGGTTTTGGGGGCCAGAACCAGGGCCTCACTGCCCTGTGCAGCCTCAGGATACTGCTGTCCACATCCAGGCTGCTCTGGTTCCAGCTGGGGCTCAAAGGGGCCAAGGTACCCCTTGGGCCACCACTCTAAAGGGCACAGGCCAAAAGGGTTGGTGGCGTCCATTTGGTGTTAAGCTGGCAGAAACAGAGTACAAGAGTGAAAGAAGCTTGGCAACCTCCACCTAGAATTCAGAAGATATATGAGAAAGCCTGGGTACCCAGGAATCCTGCTGCAGGGGTAGAACCCTCACAGAGAACTTCTACTAGGGAAGTGTTGAAGGAAAATGTGGGATTGGAGGCCCCACACAGAGTCTTCACTGGGGAATTCCCTAACGGAGCTGTAGGAAGGGGGCCACCATCCACCAGACCCCAGAAGGATAGATCCACCAGCATCCTGCACCCTGTACCTGGAAAAGCACAGAAACAGAACTGCCTAAAGCCTTGGGAGCCCACCCCTCACACCAGTGCGCCCTGGATGTGGGACATGGCATCAAAAGAGATTATTTTGGAGCTTTAAGATTTAATGACTGCCCCCCCTGGGTTTCAGACTTGCATGGGGCCTGTAGCCTCTTCCTTTTGGCCCTTTGGAGTGGAAATATTTACCAATTGCCTGTACCACCATTGTATCTTGAAAGTAAATAATTTGTTTTGATTTTACAGGTTCATGGCTGGAAGGAAATCAGCTCCAAATGAGACTCTGTACTTGAGACTTTGGACATGTGAGTGATGGTACAATGAATTGAGACTTTTGGGGAACTGTTGAGAAGGCATGATTGTATTTTGTGATGTGAGAAAAACATGAGATTTGAGGGGTCAGGGGAGAAATAACATAGTTTGTATGTTGTCCAACTATACTATTCCTCCCCTAACCCCTCAAATCTCATATTTTTCTCTAAATGTCATGTTGAAATCCCTCTAAATCACATGTTGAATTATAATCCCCAATGTTGGAGGTAGGGCCTAGTAGGAGGTATTTGGGTCACGGGGGTAGATTCCTTAGGGCTTTGTGCTATCCTCATGATAGTGAATAAGTCTCATGAGATCTGGTTGTTTAAAAGTGCGTGATACCACCCCACCCATCTCTTGTGTCTGCTCCAGCCATGCAATGTGCCTGCTCCTGCTTCACCTTTGACCATGGGTAAAAGCTCCCTGAGGTCTCTCCAGAAGCTGAGCAGGTGCCAGCATCATCATGCTTGTACAGCCTGCAAAACCATCAGCCAGTTAAACTCCTTTTCTTTGTAAATTACCGTGTCTCATCTATTTCTTTAAAGAAACCCAAGAATAGCCTAACACGTTGTTATTTCTCTCTTAACTATGCTTTTGGTAATATTTTATTCCTCGGGCTTAGGTGTCAAACTTGGGTCTACAAAAATATTCTTTTATTACTTCTATTAATACTTCTTTACTTTCATTGTTTAATATTTAAATCTTTTGCAATGTGGAATTTATCTGGTAGGAGGTATGTTTGGTTTTTTTGTTTGTGTATTTGTTTGTTTTCCAATAGCCGGCCTTATTGTCCTAACATAATTTATTGGAAAATATGTTATTTCTCCTACTTACTTGAAACATCAATATACTCTTACATATAGTTACAATATTCATAAGAATATGCTTAGGAATTCTAGATAACACTAAGAAACTTAAAATTTAATGGTTTAAAGTTTTCAGAAAGTTTACAATACTGTACTTATTACCATGAAAAGATAATAGAAAATTATCAACTTCGCAGGAGTCTTCAAAAGATGTCAATACAATTGCAATTTATCCAATTGGGTTGCTGTAAATTTCATAGATAATTTAAAAAGGTAAAGTATTTATTCTTGCATTTGGCTTTAAGCAAGTTCTAGATGTACTGGGTAGTATTTAAATAAATGGTCTTATATTTATAAAATTAAAAGTTGTGAAAATTGTCCCAGAGGGAAAGAAAAAGGAATAACAAACAAATAATAACAAAATAATATTTTAGGGGTTCCTTAGATGATAATATATAAGCTAATTTTTGCAACTAGGTTAAGAGGTAGGAAAATTGCATTCTAGACTGAAAAAGATCACAGAAGTCCCAGGTGAGGGAGAACTCGGTACATTTCAAAAGTACAAGAACACCGATATTTGCTGAAATGTTGTAAATATGGGAAAGAAAAGTGAAAAATGGCTTGATAGGTAGACAGAGGTCAGGTCATAGAGGAATTCCTTTTCAGCATGTTAAAGATTTTGGAGTTTAAACTGCATGCAATAGTGTATTAGTCCATTTTCACACTGCTATAAAGAACTTCCTGAGACTTGGTAATTTACAGAGGAAAAAGGTTTAATTGACTCACAGTTCCACATGGCTAGAGAGGCCTCAGGAAACTTACAATCATGGTGGAAGAGGAAGCAGACATATCTTACATGGTGGCAGGGAAGAGAGAGAGAAATAGAGAAAGAAAAGCCCAGGAGAAACTGCCATTTATAAAACCATTATGTCTTATGAGAACTCCCTCACTATCACGAGAATAGCATTGGGAAAACCGCCCCCATGATCCAGTCACCTCCCACCAGGTCTCTCCCTCAACACCTGGGGATTACAATTGAAGATGAGATTTGGGTGGGGACACAAAGTCTAACCGTATCATCCCATCCCAACCCCTCCCAAATCTTATGTCCTTACATTTCAAAACCAATCATTCCTTCCCAACAGTCACTCAAAGCCTTAACTCATTTCAGCATTAACTCAAAATTCCAAGTCCAAAGTCTCATCTGAGACAAGGCAAGTCCCTTCTGCCCATGAACCTGTAAACTCAAAAGCAAGTTAGTTACCCACAACGGGATACAGGGATTTTATAAATGCTTCCATTCCAAATGGAAGAAATTGACCAAAACAAATGGCTACAGGCCCCATGCAAGTCTGAAGTGTGGTGGTGGGGGCAGCCATTAAATCTTAAAGCTCCAAAATAATCTCCTTTGACTCCATGTCTCACATCCTGGTCATGCAGATGCAAGGAGTGGGCTCCCACAGTCTTGGGCAGCTCCACTCTTGTGGCTTTTCAGGGTACAGTACCCATCCTGGCTACTTTCACAGGCTAGCATTGAATGTCTGCAGCTTTTCTAGGTGCATGGTGCAAGCTGTTGGCGGATCTACCATTCTGAGGTCTGGAGATTGTGGGTCTTTTTTCACAGATCCACTAGCAGTGTCCCAGTGGGGACCCTGTGTTGGGGCTCCAACCCCACATTTCCCCTTTGCACTGCCCTACTAGAGGCTTTTCACAAGGGCTTCACCCCTGCAATAAACTTCTGCCTGGACAGTCAGGCATTTCCATACATCCTTTGAAATCTAGGTGGAGGTTCCCAAACCTCAATTGTTGACATCTGTGCACTCACAGGCCCAACACCATGTGGAAGCTGCCAAGGCTTGGGGCTTGCACCCTCTGAAGCAACAGCCTGAGTTGTACCTTGGCCCCGTTTAGCCATGACTGGAGCTGAAGCAGCAGGGATGCAGGGCACCAAATCTTGAGACTTCACAGAGCATGGGAGCCCTGGGCTCAGCCCAGGAAACCATTTTTTCCTTATAGGCCTCCAGGCCTGTGATGGGCGGGCTGCCACCAAGATCTCTGACATGCCTTGGAGACATTTTCCCCATTGTCTTGGTGACTAACATTCAACTCCTTGTTACTTATGCAAATTTGTGCAGCTGGCTTGAATTTTCCCCCAGAAAATGAGTTTTTTTTTTCTATTGTATAGTCAGTTTGCAATTTTTTAAAACTTTTATGCTCTGTAATCTCTTGAATACTTTGCTGCTTAGAAATTTCTTCTGCCAGATACCCTAAATCATCTCTGTCAAGATCAAAGTTTCACAAATCTGTAGGGTAGGAGCAAAATGCCACCAGGATCTTTGCTAAAGCATAGCAAGAGTCACCTTTACTCTAGTTCCCAATAAGTTCCTCATCTCCATCTGAGACCATTTCAACCTGGACTTCATTGTCCACATTACTCTCAGCATTTTGGTCAAAACCATTCAACAAGTCTCAGGGAAGTTCCAAACTTTCTCACATCCTCCTGTCTTCTGAGTCCTGCAAGACTCTAGGACGTTCCAAACTTTCCCACATGTTCCTGTCTTCTTCTGACCCCTTCAAACTGTTCCAACCTCTGCCTGCTACCCAGTTTCAAAGTTGCTTCCACATTTTTGGGTATCTTTATAGTATTACCTCACTCCTGGCACCAATTTAAGTTTCTGAAGGCCTTTCCAGCCATGCAGAACTGTGTCAATTAAACCTCTTTTCTTAACAAATTATCCAGTCCCGGGAAGTTATTTATAGCTGTGTGAGAAGAGACTACTTACAATCGTGGCGGAAGGGGAAGCAGGCACATATTACATTGCATCAGGTGAGAGAGAGAGCATGTGTCAGTGCAGGAAAAGCTACCATATATCAAACCATCAGATCTCATGAGCATTTACTCACTACCTTGAGAACAGCATTGGGGAAACTGCCCCCATAATCCAATCACTTCCCACAAGGTCACAACTCTAACCACCTGGGGATGACAATTCAAGATGAGATTTAGGCCACGACACAAAGCCTAACCATATCAAATAGGTATCCATTGAAACATTTTGATTCAAGAGGGTGATTTTTTAAAATGCTGGTAGCTGCTGGGTAGAGCATGTACTGTAAGTTGCAAGAGTAGAAAGAGGGAGACTGGTATAGTTGTGGCTTATTTTTGGATAGTAACAATAAAGGTGAGAGTTTAGATTCAGAATATATTTGAAACATGAGATTGACAAGACTTGGTAAGATATATTGTAGGTGGTAATTGATGAAGAGGAATGTTTCAAGGACTATAACCATACTTCTGGCATAAGCAACAAAATAGATGGGCATCCTCTTTTTTAAGATGAGAAGTGATGGAGAAAGAGCATTATCTTGTGGTCGGGGCATGGCAGGGACAAATGATAGGGAATTCAGTTTCCATTTTACCAGAACGGTCAGTTTTATGTAGGTACATGAATGCCACTATGTTTAGTCTACCAAAGTAGATACTTGAAGACAAGGTATAACCACTGAAATAGATACTGAGAAAAAAAAAGAACTGAGGTTAACATAATAATGCACTAATATAAAAGTAAAATTTGGTTTATTTGGTACCAAAAATCATACAGGAAGCATAACCAAATAGAAAATGGGGTTTGGCTTTCTTTGTGCCATATTTTTATAAATATGTTGTTGGTATGTGTTCCAAAATCAAGTGAAACTCCTATAAGTCTGATATATCTTAGTATACATTATCAGTAATAATTATAATTATGTTAAATTATTGTGTGCCATAGAGGTAACACATTTCCTTGTCAATTGTGTCTTTAACTATGGCTACCTTAAAACATTTTGTCATCCATAAACAATTGTTATCTTGTTTTGGTCCTCTTTAGAAGGTGGCTTTATAGTCAGCTATAAAGCTTTAACAGGTGCTCTTGAATGCAGGTTTCTGATAAATTTGGAGACTATGACATTAGAATAGAGGAAAAAACGTTCAGGACTCTTAAAGAGCTAAAATGTTCATTAACATCAAGCAGGACAGGAATTAACTGCATAAACTGAACTAATAGGAGACTGAAGTGATCTTTTTGACTGTTTGCTTAAATTGTTGCTAATCGTTTATTTTGCTTTTCAGAGTCAAGGGAGCTTTTCTTTTTAGCTATTAACAGCTTTTAACAATTAAGTAAATTATACTACTATGAACAAAATTTGGAGCATATTTGTTTCTCTCTGATTTCTCTAGAATTTGGACACTATTTGTGAGTATTCTTAATTTATGGCAATATAGTTATTTGCATAAGTGCAATAAGAATATGTTTTCTTTTGTTACAGGACACAATTGGAGAAACTGGTTATTTTACCAAGGCTTTGACTAGAATAGTATGCTCTCCTTTAAGGAATCAAACTTGACTTATGGAGCCAATAAAGCCCTTGGAACTGGCCTCATATTTTGTGTACACAGTCCCTGTACAGGGTTTCTGGTCTGTGGTAAGTAAAGAATGTCACTTTCTGACAGGCCAGGAGCCCCAAGTTATCTTACAACCTCAAGAGGAGAGGAATTCACCTAACTCATAGATATTTGATTGTACAAATTCATAGCTGGGCTTGGCTTTAAAAAGGTCTTATCTCAGATTCTTTCTATGGAAACACTTTCATCAAAGCCAATTTAAAAGGTCTATGTGTAAAATAATTATTCTTGCTGCACTGTGTACAAATAATTAGGCCAAGTATAAGAAAACAAATCAGTCCTACCATGATTTGTCTTTCAATAAAAATGGGAAACTGGAGGAAAATTATGTTTCAAAAACTATAGTACACCTGTTGTTAAATTCTAGTACTGCTTGATGTTTTTAAATTTTTTATTATTTTGTACAGTTTGGATTAAATTCTAATTTTTCTGGCTACAAGTCTCCAAAATAATGTCTTCAGTTTTTTCCTGTTTCTTTTCCGTTTTCCCCATTTTTCCTAATTGGAAATCACTGAAACTAAGCTGTGCTTTCTTAAAGCCCTATGAACTGAAGACTAGGCAGCTTAAACTTCAGAAGAAAATAGAAGCAACCTATTTATATATGTTGCTGTTGCACACTATTATATTTCAGGAGGTGCTCTGTTTCCGGGGGTTAGAGGCAGCAATCAGGAACAAATCGACTTCTTCCACTCCAGCATTGCATTTGGTGCCCCATAATGATGGCCCCCTCTCAGCAGGAAGTAGCCAGAAAGATTATGATGCTCCATCTCCCTATGATTCTTGTGATAAGTAAATATACAAGCATGATAGGAATCATGTGCAAATTGACAGTGGGGATTGTAGCAGGCCAGGTCTCACTAATGCAGGCCTCCATAACAACTGTTTCAGTACTGACTGAGTGGTTAAGTTAAATATTAAAAGCCAGTGCCCTTAAACAAAGGCTGGAACGTAAAAAATAAAATGGTCACCAAGAGTTTTGCCGAGGCTTTAAAGAATGAAAAAATAATGAAGGAATTCTTAACAGGACCATTTAGGATTAAACAAGTTTTATTGTAAGTCTGAAGAAACTCCCCAGGCCTCCACAAACAAGTTTGTTTACATTTATTTATTTATTTTATTTATTTATTTTGATACAGAGTCTCGCTCTGTCTCCCAGGCTGGAGTGCTGTGGCCCGATCTTGGCTCATTGCAAGCTCCACCTCCTGGGTTCAAGTGATTCTCCTGCCTCAGTCTTGCCAGTAGCTGGGACTACAGGCATGTGCCACCATGCCCGGCTAATTTTTTGTATTTTTTTTTTTTTATTACAGATAGGATTTCACCGTATTAGTGAGGATGGTCTCAATCTCCTGACCTCATGATCTGCCCGCCTCGGCCTCTCAAAGTGCTGGGATTACAGGTGTGAGCCACCATGCCTGGCCCATAAACAAGTTTATTAAGGGGTCTGAAGGAACTCCCAAACCTCTGGGATTTAGCAGGAGACAAGATAAGTGTAATCACCCCAGCACCTGGACCCATTTAGATTCAGTAAATTTATTTCAGCTCCAGAAGAAGGTCTTTAGGACTCAGGCCTTAGTTATAGATTAAAAGAAGTTAATCATTAATGTCTTTAGATTAATGCACGCTTACATGTAGATATATGGCTTAGACAGTATATAAGCTCTGGAAAATTTTGAGTTGGTTGGGCAATAATTTCCAGGCTTTCTCCTTGTAACCGGTTTCAGAAATAAAAACTCTCTTCCTCCCCAGTTCATCTGCATCTTGTTATTGGGCCACAAGAAATAGCAGCCCGTCCTTCAGTTTGACCTGGGAACAGGAGGATTAGTTTGATGAGGTAAGTAAGCATCAAATCTTGAAAGTCCTCTATGCTGAAGTGTTTGAATGCTATCTTGTGAACTCTGTAACTCATTTTAAGCGTTTTCAGCATGAAAAAATAATCAGATATGTATTTTGGAAAAATTACTTTGCCTGTGGTATGGCAAATGGGCCATAAGGGGACACAGGCTGTAAGACAGAGACCAGAGACTTCTGTAAATGAGCAGTTAAGAGATATGAGACCAAAACTCAGTGCAAGGAAATCCTCTTAATCTTCAGAAATTGAAGTCCTTATCAAAATAGGGCAGCAGAGCAGACATGCTAACAGCTCAGAGGAAAATCACTGCTGTTCTGGACCACATCTACTCCTGTCTACCTGCAGGCCAGCAGGACTTGAGCTGCAAAGGTGGCTGCTTGCCAAGATGAGTTTGTTTGAAGCTATGGTTCTGCAGCCTGAGTCATTAGCCCTCCCTCCCATATATGATCCTTTCTATTCACCTAAGCTTTCCCTCTAGGCCCCAAGATAGGCCACTGGGAACCTCAGTAGACTGTGTTCCCTGAACAACAGAGTGCCTCATTAGCTACTTTTTAATGAGGTCACAGCCTGTGACTGCTCATTAATAGACTGGCTAGTCAGCATCCCCAGGGGTAGGAGAGACTGAAGACAGAAGTCAGTGATTACAGAGCCTAAGTGTAGCTGTGTTAGAGGGAGAAAGAACTTAGTAGAGACTCTGAGGCTTTTACTCTGAGGTCTCTAGGGTCACTTGAGCTCTCAGAGACTATGATTCTGGAGAACATCTTGAGGGACCAGGGCCTTGGTGGGAGGAAGTGACACAGAGTCAAGTGATCCTAGGCTTGTAATAGCTGTTGGTCTACAGAGATCCTTGAGGAAATCAAATGCTCTTCAAGTTCTCTTGGATGCTTATGGAAATGGAATATTGCTTTTGAAACCTTTTGTCACCTTGCCTTCCATAACCATGGATTTTCTTGCTATTCCCCGTACATGACTAAGTGCAGAGTATTTGGGTTATTTTCCAAGTCTTTTAAAATTGTATTTATCCTGGGAGTTAATTTATTGGCCCTCTTCTATACTGCTTGTTTACTGTCTCCTAGACATCCCGTTCATTCACAGGATCCCAACACATCACCCCTCTGGAGATGAAACTTGGGCATTGACTTCTATCTCCCACTAGGATCAGTGCTACAGCCTCCTATTTGTATTCCCTGCCTCCAGTCATGTTGCAGATTTACACATACACCTCATTCCCATTCAGCCCTTAGTCTCCCCAGAGTTCTTTCTAAACACACATGTGGTAATCTGTCTTAATCATGTTTAAATTCCTTATGAATCACCCTCATAATCAGAATGAAACCACTGTACTTAGCATGTCATACAAACCTTATAGTTCAGTTCTAATTTCTCTTTCAAATGTCAGTTCTTATCATACCCCATCCATACATTTGAATGGGGTATGATAAAAATAGTTTATCGTGCTGAACTATTTTCTTTTCCCTTATACCATGCATTTTTAATTTCTCTAAATGTGCTTTTTTGGTTCTCTCAAAAATTTAGAGTCTAAAAATCCTGAGTTCAAATTGTGTGTCTGCTACTTACCAGATATGAAAATCACTCTATGTTTCTCTCCTTCTATTTCCTCTTCTGTGAATTGAGTGATAATATCCTGTGGATTTAATGCAAAGACGAAATGAGAATAATGAAACCTACTGTGAAGATGTTAAGAGGCCAGCCATTCATGTGGCACAGAGGTACCACAGCCTGGCACCTCTGTGACAGCAGAGGTACCAGGTCGGTTAATCAAATGATATTAGCCAACAACTAACACCTGTGGAACTTTATGACTTTTGTCTATTCTTTGTTATTTTTTACATTTAAAGTAGTATATCAGTTATGTAAATTTCCCAATAGGTATTTGCTACTATTCATAACACAAGTAAATTATTAGGGTCCCTCCTTTTCCCAGTGAACAGAGTAAAGAAAGGAAGTAACATGTTAAATATGAGCTACATATTTGTCAACAAAGTGTTATTTACTCCTCACAGGTATTAACAAGAAGTATAGAATATGGCAAAGTAACAAGTAATGGATGTCAAAGTTTGGGTTTGAATCTAGGTCCATCTGATTCCAAAATATCGACTTTAAGATAACATATTTAATCTCTAAAATATAAAGAAAGAATCTAAGAATCTAGAAAGATATTTGGAAGTAAAGGAATGTAATATGGGCAGCCAAGAGGCTTCAGGAGAGTCATAAGAGAGAGAAAAAGAACCTTTGAGGCCAATAGACATAAATGGATGTCATATCACCATATTGTAAACTATTTCTTTGGGGTAACTGAAAGAAATGAATAGTTACTTTTTATTCTCTAATTCAAGCTCTTTAATCTCTAAATCAAGCTACTTGGGAAAGAATATGTCATCAACAGAAGGTAGATATTATTATTAAATCTTTATATCTTTACTCAATTCCTCTGCCTGCTATTCTTGCCTCTCACCCCATACTCACCATACCAAGTTAATCCCTACATATTATTTAAGATTCAATTCTAGTGTTTTCTCTCCTATGAATCTCTCCCTGATTCCTCTAGGCAAATCTGAGTTTGTTCTCCTTTGTACACATGTGATGTCTTGTATATATAATTTTTAAGCATTGAAGACATTGAAATTGTCTCTTTATAAGCATAGAGGATACAGTAAGAGCAGTTCATCATTCTTGTTTGTATCTCTGACACCTAGTCCAATGTCTGGCATATAGTAAGTACTCAATAAATGACTGAAGAAATGCATAGTCCCCAAATTGTTTCTCTAGCCTTGGCCTGTTCCATTCTCACTGAAAAGTGAGAATTGTCTCTGAGACATTTCTGCCTAAGTGTCAAGGCACATGTCAAACAACAAGCTCCCAGGACAAAATTTTCTCCCATTCTCTAAATCGTGAAAGAAAAATGTCTTATTACATATTTATTGCTTTTACCTCACTTTTCATTGACATATTCTTTCATTTAATCAGTGAATATTCATACTGAATCCTGAAGGTACAACAATGAACAAGTTGCGTCCTCTAAGAGCTCATGGCTCCTTAAGTGAGACAACGTAAATACACAGATACAGACAAAAAGTGCCATGGAAAAGGCTTTACTATATTATAATTTTGCACTATCAAAGAAGTGTTCAACCAGTCTCCTAATCCTATTAATTCCTCCTTGGCAACATCTTTTTACTCAAACCTTGGTTAAATACCCATTTTCACTTCCACTGCCATTAGTCTAGCCAGTGGATCTTCTCAGAGAACCTTCTGCCTGGGCATCCAGGCGTTTCCATACATTTTCTGAAATCTAGGTGGAGGTTCCCAAACCTCAATTCTTGATTTCTGTGCACTCGCAGGCTCAACACCATGTGGAAGCTGCCAAGGCTTGGAGCCTGCACCCTCTGAAACCATGACTCGAGCTCTAGGTTGGCCCCTTTCAGCCGTGGCTGGGATGCAGGGCACCAAGTTCCTAGGCTGCACACAGCACGGGACCCAGACCTAGCCCATGAAAACATTTTCTTCTAGGCCTGTGGTGGGAGGGGTTGCCATGAAGCCCTCTTACATGCCCTGGAGACATTCTCCCCATTGTCTTCTGGATTAACACTGGCTGTTAGTTACTTACGCAAATTTCTGCAGCCAGCTTGAATTTCTCCTCAGAAAATGGGTTTTTCTTTTCTATCACTATAGGGGAAAGAATGAGAGATCAGACTGTTACTGTGTCTATGTAGAAAGGGAAGACATAAGAAACTCCATTTTGACCTATACTCTGAACAATTGCTTTGCCTTGAGATGCTGTTAATCTATAACTTTGCCCCAACCTTGAGCTCACAGAAACATGTGTTGTATGGAATCAAGGTTTAAGGGATTTAGGGCTGTGCAAGATGTGTCTTTTTAACAAAATGTTTACAGGCAGTATGCTTGGTAAAAGTCATCGCCATTCTCCAGTCTCGATAAACCAGGGGCACAATGCACTGCGGAAAGCCACAGGGACCTCTGCCCTGGAAAGCCGGGTATTGTCCAAGGTTTCTCCCCATATGATAGTCTGAAATATGGCCTTGTGGGATGGGAAAGACCTGACCATCTGCCAGCCCGACACCTGTGAAAGGTCTGTGCTGAGGAGAATTAGTAAAAGAGGAAGACCTCTTGCAGTTCAGACAGAGGAAGGCCACTGTCTCCTGCCTGCCCCTGGGAACTGAACGTCTTGGTATAAAACCCGATTGTACATTTGTTCAGTTCTGAGATAGGAGAAAAGCTGCCCTGTGGCGGGAGGTGAGACATGTTGGCAGCAATGCTGTTCTGTTACTTTTTACTCCACTGAGATGTTTGGGTGGAGAAAAGCATAAATCTGGCCTACGTGCACATCCAGGCATAATACCTTCCCTTGAACTTATTTGTGACACAGATTCCTTTGCTCACATGTTTTCTTGCTGACCTTCTCCCTGCTATCAACCTGCTCTCCTGCCACATTCCTCTTGCTGAGATCATGAAAATAATAATTAATAAATACTAAGGGAACTCAGAGACCGGTGCCGGTGCAGGTCCTCCGTATGCTGAGCGCCAGTCCCCTGGGCCCACTTTTCTTTCTCTATACTTTGTCTCTCTGTCTTATTTCTTTTCTCAGTCTCTTGTCTCACCCGACGAGAAATACCCACAGGTGTGGAGAGGCTGGCCCCCTTCAATCTCACATTGTCAGGCTGCAAATTTTCTGAACTTTGCAGTTCTAACTTTCAAAATTTTGCAGGGATACTCTGCTTCCCTTATAAAACTGAGTGCTTTTAATAGCACCCAAGTCACATCTGAATGCTTTGCTGCTTAGAAATTTCTTCTGCCAGATACCCTAAATCTTCTCTCTCAAGTTCAAAGTTCCACAAATCTCTAGGCCAGGGGCAAAATGCCACCAATCTCTTTGCTAAACATAACAAGAGTCACCTTTGCTCCAGTTCCCAACAAGTTCCTCATCTCCATCTGAGACCACCTCAACCTGGACTTTATTGTTCATGTCACTATCAGCATTTTTGTCAAAGTCATTCAACAAGTCTCTAGGAAGTTCCAAAGTTTCACACATTTTCCTGTCTTCTTCTGAGCCCTCCAAACTGTTTCAACCTCTGCCTGTTACCCAGTTCCAAGTCACTTCCACATTTTCAGGTATCTTTTCAGCAACACTGAGCTCTACTGGTGCAAATTTACTGTATTCATGTTCACACTGCTGATAAAGACATTCCTGAGACTGGGCAATATACAAAAGAAAGAGGTTTAATTGGACTTATAATTCCACGTGGCTGGAGAAGTCTCACAATCAGGTAGAAGGCAAGAAACAGCAAGTCACGTCTTACATGGATAGCAGCAGGCAAAGAGAGAGCTTGTGCAGGGGAATTCCTCCTTCTAAAACCATCAGATCTCATGAGAGCAATTCACTATCACAAGAACAGCATGGGAAAGAACTTGCTCCCATGATTCAATTACTTCCTGTTGGGTTCCTTCCACAACATATGGGAATTCAAGATGAGATTTGGGTGGGGACACAGGCAAACCATATCAATTACTCTTTTCTCCCCTTTTCATACTGTACTCTGTAAAGAGGTCACCATGATAAGCCCACACTCAAAAGCTAGGGAGTAACGTTCCACTTCCTCATGGGCAAAGTAACTAAATAAATTATGTTGAATTCTTCTAGACAGACTTTTTGAGCCTTCCTCATTTATTTACTTATTCAATCATTTATTTACATCATATATACTCATAAACATTTATTTTATATTTTGGTTTATAATCCAATACTACCTTATTTGTTGTTCAAATATTACAGCTTTGGCTACTAGGAGCTCTTCATTTGGTTTCTGTGTTCCTTTGACATACCCAATAATGTGGGATTTTTTTTCATCACTTTCTTACTTTCTGCATTACAAGAGTCTCCAGGATCATCTTGCACACTTCCTGCCTCAGTCCTAGAATCAACCATTTCTCCAGGGAATACGAGTTCCTTTTAATGGAAGATTTTATTAGAAAGAAATATCTGAGTATTAGGTATCCATCTTAAGTTTTTACATAAATATTAATGTATATCCCCAGTTACATTGTGTTCCATTGTAGTCTACGGAAAATCCGCAAGTTTCGAATCAGTCTCCTATTAATGAAATCGAGATTTTTTTTTACATTATTTTTCAAGTAAAATGTGCTGCATTAGCAAAAGTATCAACAGATTAACAGACATCCTATAGAATGGAAGGAAATATTAGCAAATTATGCATCTGATAAAGGTCTAATATCCAGCAGCTATAAGGAATGTAAACAAATTTACAAGTAAAAACCAAAGAACTCCATTAAAAAGTGGGCAAAGAATATGAACAGACACCTTTCAAAAGAAGACATACATGTGGCCCAAAAGCACATGAGAAAATGCTCAATATCATTAGAGAAATGCAAATCAAAACCACAATGAGATACCATCTTACACCAGTCAGAATGGCTATTATTAAAAAGTCAAAAATTAACAGATGCTAGCAAGATTATGGAGAAAAGGGCATGCTTAAACACTGTTAATAGGAGTGTAAATTAGTTCAACTATTGTGGAAAGCAGAATGGCAATTCCTCGAAGAGCTAAAAACAGAACTACCATTTGACCTAGCAATCCCATTACTG